GGGGTGGGGAGGGGGGTGAGGGGTTTGAGAGTCAACTCCCTCTCTCCGAAATTCCGAGCAGTCGTGTATATTTTCGAAGTACGCACCGTCAGAATTGTAACAAAAAAATGTCATTTTTCGAAATTATAAAAAAACTTTACAAAACAAAAGTTAAACTTACAGTTATAATTTTGACTTAAATTTTGTTATAATTCTGACGGTCCGCACTTCAAAAAATATATACCGATAAAATTATCGATATTTGACATTTTTAAATAAATGTTTATTTAATTGTAATAATATTGTTTTTAGTTTTATATGCAAATAAAACTGCAAAATGTTCTCGGCTAAAGTATTTTACTTTTTTTGTTTTTCATGTATGTTTAAAAATGAGAGCTAATTAAAATCAACAACTTCTCATGGGACACTTTGTACAACATTGTAGATTGATTGATAAAAATTTATCAGCCAATATGCCGCAATATATGCACTTCTTTTTGCTTGTGTTTAATTTACAATATCAATTTAATTAAAATTTCTTGAAATTTCTTAATAATTATTTAAGATTTTTTTTCTGTGTTTTTTATTTTCTTGTATTTTTGTTTCTTATCAAAAACATTAAACAATAAAATAAAGGAAAACATAAAATATGTCCCAATAATTTCGTAATATTCTTAGCAATAGAGGTTTAATATAATATTTGTAAAACTACTAAAAAAAACAAATTACAAGTCAAGAAATATTTGAACATACTATATATGGACAATATATATTACGTATTATGGAAATAAATACGCACTATTATATTTCTGCAATTATTGTATATCAATTGCATTTATCGCAGTATTAATAAATACGGTAAATTACGCGTAGTTCTTTGATATAGTAATTATTTAAGATACAAAAATTAAATATATAATATATCTTAAAATATTATTTGTTCAAAAATTATGTTGTAATATGTCTAGCACAGTGGAGACGTGAGATGCCCCCGCGTATCTTGATAACTGTTAAACAGATCTGACCGACGCGTTAATATTTACATTCAAATGAAAAAGCATACCTTGTATCTTCCTTTGTTTTCTTCTAACTTTTAGAAAAAAAGGCTCTTATATCATTATCATCATCAGTATTCAGTCATCTGCGTCAGGTGAAACAGACACAATGTCACAAGTAGAAATAACCAAAGATAACATATGGTATCATTATGAAAGAATTTCGGGGCAGGATTTTCGAGCAAAGTGCACGGTTTGTAAATTAAATGTGTTGTACATCGATCTTGGACACTTTAAAGAGCATTTACGAACAACACATGATGCATATTTTATTTCCCTGGCAAACATATTGAGAGAAATGCCGGAGATATATTATGACTCTGTTCATTTACGATGTCGTGTTTGTCCTAGAAATCTTCCGTCTCAAGATTATGACGGTCACAAGCATTCTGCAATCGAAATTTCACGTTATGAAACAACCAAAAATAAAAAAGAATACTATGCACAAAATGGTACTTTTACAGTAAAGTGTAAAATAGTGAATTGTGACCAAACTGTAACTCTTTCTCTTTCATCAACAATAAAATCTCATTTAAAAAGTAAGGCACATTCAAACAAGTTGAAAAGTTTGCAAACGGACCCAATGTCTATGCCACCGACTATCGCAAATAAAAGTGAACTAGTTCAATATTACCAAATATTGCCGAATTTTCAAGCAAAATGCAAATCTTGCGATTTTCAAGATTGTTATATCGACATTACAAACTTTAGTCGACATGTAAAGGAGAAACATGATGAAGTTAATTATTACGAAGAAAGATTCGACGAAGGATGGCCTTGGATGTATTTTAAGAATTACATCCTATTTACATCAAAATGTATTATTTGCCAAGCATTTTTACCGGATAATATTGGACTTTTAGAAGATCACTTGGATCGTTATCATTTATTGAACAGATATGATTATTACCATTACGACTGTGGTTGGGTATGGAAATATTGTCAAAGGAATGGTAATTATGACGTGCAATGTGATATTTGTGACGTTCAAATCACTTGACGTTAAATTGACGCATTTTTATCAGCATACACATCATTTTGAAGACACAGCTGGACCGTCAGGAAGTCAACAAAACTGAAAAAAAGGTAACAGTAAGTTTTATTGAAATTATTGTCAACATATAATTATAAATACATATAATTAATCTTAGATATTGTTCGAGTCGCATTTTGGCAGAACAAAACCAAACAATTGCCAGACAATTGATTTCTCAAGCAAATATTATAAATGATTTTATAGATTTATCCAAAGGATGATCATGGGAACGATGCTAACAACGTTCAAGTAGTACAAAAATCAGCACAAAAGGCAATCTTTGGTGACTTTGGTGACTGAAACAATTTATAATATGCAAAGAAGTTTATATATCTCTGACATGTAATCAGGCGCGGATTTAGGGCTTAACGGGCTATAGCCCATACCATAGCCCAGGGCGGCAATATATAGGGGCGGCAAAATCAGATTCGTATATGTTGTATTTGGGATATATTTTACACATTAGGCTGTATTAGGTTAAAAGTTACGTTTAAATGTCATTCATGCTCAGATCGCGTTATAAATTTTTTGTAAACATTCTAATTTTCACTGTTTTAAAGCTGTTTGAGTCCATGATACTAGACATCAGTCTGAAATCTCGATCGAAAAACATATAGCCAACAAAATTGCCGTTTCTCCATGAAAACTGCAAGTTGATTATACATTTCTCGGACCGATTTCCAGCATCGTGGAAATAGACCTTTACATAAGGAACGGCAGCTACTTTTTAGCCCCAAGCGGCAAATACGTAAATCTACGTGTATTTATTTGTATTATGTTCATAAAATTATAAATATGTTTATAAGTTTACGTTTTATGAGAAATACAAAATTGCACTTTTTAAATTTATTAGTATATTTGATATGTTGAATGAGTTTAATATATATATATATATATATATATATATATATATATATATATATATA